TAAGGTTTTTCGTGAGGGTCGCGACCTTGCCACGTGGAAAACTGGAGTGCAGAAGGAACAATGAAGGGCAGCAGTTGACAGGATAGGTCGTCGAAGGACGAAAGTGCGTTAACCCGGAAGAGAGCGGTACAACAACAATAAAGGGGAGCCGCTCGATTTCGCCGCCTTACAATACGGGGAGGGATTGTGTTAATCTTCTGCGAACTGTTTCGGAAGCGACGATGGCGCTCAGAAGTACGTTTTACCGTTTAAAGAGACGAAGTAATTTTAGCACGCTTCGAAAATTCAATTTACAAAATTCACCCCCACTCGGACAGTATTTTCTAAAATTAGTCGCACCGTCGTATAACCGCGTGATTTTTTGACGTCAAAAGGAAGGTTGCAATCGCATAACTAGATCTGACGTTTTTAATTTCATCCGCAATATGTTTTTACGAACGCTAATTAACGTTTGCGTGCAACAGAAATTACAATCCCGAGAGCAAATCCGCGGAGAGTCGTTCCGATTCCATCGGCGATTTGCGCTTTGCGGGCGAGCTTTATACTTAGAATCCAATTATCGGAAAGCCGCGACGCCGGGCATTGTCTTTGCGTAGGAATCCTTCCTGCGGCGTGCGCGCGGCTCGAGGCTACCTTCGTGTTCGAGAATGCCCGCTGTCCCTGGACAAGCGGAGTACATTCCCAGACTGGGTTTTAGCCTCCAGGACGCCCTCACATTACGATCCGCGTATCTCCCTCCTGCCCCCCCGCACTTCCGTCCCCCTTTCCTTCACGCATAAAAGCCCTCGCACGCTGCGTCTCGGCTAAGGAGCGTGTTCAAGGTCCGGCCGAGGTCGCAGACACATCCGACGAGATCAGCATCCCCTCTTTTGACAGTACCCTCCACCTATATCAATATATAAACACGGGACAACGAGGCGACAATGAATAGTACTCAAAACCCGCTAATGTCTCTGTCATTTTTTATTCATCTCCCTCTCCGGACCGCTTGACCGCCCCGAGGCTCGCAGAGAGGCGAAAAACAGAGAACGGTGTTATTGAAGCTTCGGGAATCCCGTTTGCGTGCGGAAGAGTTGAGGAAAAAAAAAAGAAGAAGCAATGTTATTTATTAATTCACATTTTGCGCAATTGCCGCGCACGATGATATATGCTCGTAGCGCGAGCGTTCGCGGATTAACGATCGGCCTTCGGATTAACCGCACTTGCGCTCGACGGCACATTCTGCTCAGCGGTTTATTGTCCGCGGACGGCTCCTTGTCGATCTCTGCCCGACGCGCTTCCTTCTCCTGTTCTTTTTGCCCGTTTAATCCGCGGCACGACGATACTGGCCAACGGATGGCAGGACTGTGCGCGGTCCGACGTCTGGAAATTAATGCGGATTAACGGCCTGTTGCAGCCTCTTGATGCATCTTGGCGCAACGAATACATGTAGACGGATTTACGTACAATCTCAAGCGGAAATAGCATAAGTGATTCGATAGATAAATAAATGCCGATATATTGACGCGATGCACAATGTTTGTTACAAATTTATTATCGCGCTCCATCGAAAGTACCAACTGCGTCGCAGCACTGAATTATCGTTCACTTTTTCGGCGCGGAGTCTTCCTTTCTGATAATATTTGACATTTGAATTTTTGAAATTATTTAAATATAATTTTCTCTTTCAAAAATCGACGCATTGAAACTAAACGGGTAAAACAACTCTTATTAGTTTTATTTCGAATCGGCGAGTATTTTCGGGATACATTTGTAAATAATAATTCGCTCTCGGCAAAATTCAATGCCCACGCGTGACATAACGATGCGCGGAAGCGCATCGGCAGGATGATGCGATCGAAGCGAAGTGCAGAGTTCACGGGACAGTTCACGTTAGAGAGAAGCACAGAAGGTTGCGTGGCAACCGACGCCCACAGTGTGCCACGCGCCTGCTGTAGGTGTTTACGCGAGCGCGGTGGTTGCCGTTCTTGTTGCGCCGCATTTTCTCGTAGGTGGATTTGGTGGATCAATGAAGGGGATCGTATCTCGAATGGGCCGCGTGGAAAGCTCGGAAAAACAATTGCACAATTGGAAAACATTCTTGTTGCAGGAAAACATCCTCTGTCCACAATTTCCGCTGTGCTAAATATATACACGTATGTTGGATTTTTATTTTGTTACTTTTTTTTTTTTTAATATATATTGTATAAAACAAGTAATTGGATGAAGAATGGAAATAGTCGAATAATTTTTTTAATCCAATCAACATCGATCGATAGCAATCGAAAATTGAACGAAAATCGAAACGTGCTACGTTCACGTGTCATTTTATTAGCATAACCAGCGACAAAATATTATACCTCGATTCAAGTCCTTTGCTGTAATCAACTAGGTGTCCTTCTGGATAGCGTGTGCACAAATTCCAATCGTCTTCATATCTAAATATTTATCGAGGTTGAATAAAAGTTCAAGGTGTAACTAAAAAACGCGAGAACATCACTCCGCCGCGGCTAGCGGCTAGCTAGTCTAAATATGTAAAATAATCCCATAATCGCGATGAATTTTGAAAGCGAAGTAGCATACATAATATTGTTGGAGCGCGTACACAAATGTTTTTTTAATTGCAAGATTCAAAATATTTAATCACAACTGATGCTTGAGCATAATTACGCAATCTATATACAAAACTGTTTACAAAAGCAATTGCAAAACAGTCACTCAGGACGGGTTAACTTTTTTATGCATGATATAATATTCATGTAAAATCTGTATGCTTTTAAATCAACACTTCCTAAATTCGAATCTCGTCACACGCTTATATAATGAATAATTGAAACAAGTAAGAATAAAAGTGTGAATTATCGGAGGTGGGAACTCGAATATTTTTAGAAGACGGAGACGGAAAATCTCAGACCTTGGAAAGAACACGGGACTGCGGGAGAGAAAACGGTGAAAGAAGTAAATAAGAAGACAATATTTTTTTTTATGTATAATTCACCAGACAATGTTTATTCAGACGACCTCACAACTCCCAAGCGTACAAAATGACGTGCTCACTGGGCAATATGCGGGGCTGTATTCTTGCATGTAGTAGAGTACGTTTTATATTTTTTCGTATTTTTTTCCACCAGAAACAACAGCTGTTTGTATTTTTCCTTCTTAATGGATAGGGAAATATATCATACTTTATGTATTGTTTACTATAATAATTATGTGTAGTTTATGCATAACAAGTATTACGAATATCAACGCTAGGTTGTCTGCAGGGGGGGAGGAGGAGGAAGGGACAAGACATGTGTTCGTTCGGTGTGCTTAGTGTGTTGCTGTCGTATGCGTCGCCGTGTGAAATGTGTGTCTCTAATCTGTGTGTACGCGTGTATTCTGTAAGGACAGCCAGAAGGATACTACGCGGATTCGCTGGGATAGACGGGGTGGTGGATTTGTGATACACGCGACAGCGCGAAGGAAATGCACTTTAGATACAATAAATACAGAGGCCTCTAAGCTGGGTATGTGTGTATGTATGTGTGTGTGTGTGTGTGTTAGGAATAACTTTGGCTAGGCTATACTCTAGCCGGGAGAGACTGAACGCCCCGTTCTAACGCAGACTGGCTACCCTTTAATCCGACCGAACTTTATACTGATTTAGCGCGGGACTCGATTAAAGCGAGTTCCACGTAGGTCGCGCGAAAGGGGATCTAGTCCGGTCTCGAAAGGAGGCGTAAAGTGTTTCTACACTGTTCCAAGATCATCGGTTTGCTCGCTATTAAGCGTGTTTGTGGATGTATATGCGTGTTTCGATGCGATACTCATGCTGGGATCGGGATATGCGGGTGGTTAGGGGGGGGGGCGGGGCGGGCGTCTCAACAACACGTCGGCGGCGGCCCGCCGCGTATCTTCTAACTTTCCCTCACGATTTTTTTTTCGAAGCAGAAGAGGTTCACTCGCGCCTACCAGGACATAGCCTTACGAATCTACTATTTACACTGCGCTTCTGCCGGAGCTCCGCGCTCTACTCGAGCGATTCGCGATTTCTCTCTCTCTCTCTCTCGTTTCTTTATCTTTCTCTTCGTCTCTCGCTCTATCGCACTCACTCATTCGCTCTCTTTCTCTCGCTTTCTCCCTCACGATTCCGTCTCGATTTATCTGTCCGACTTTCATGCATGCACACACGACACATAATATTGTATAACGCGTTTAAGCGGGCCTACGATATCTAACTCGCTATACGGCGCGATTAGAGGATATAATTACTTCTCGAGTCGTCTCTCCCGACGGGGAGACACGATACGTAGTATAAAGGTACGGTAATTGCAAACTGGTGGCCGCGGCGGGCCGATCAGTCTCATAATAAAACGCTTAATTCTTGAAAAATCGCGTGCGCGATTCCGTTTCTCGGTTTGCCACCGCGATCAAGAAGCTTTTCGATTTGCCCCGACTCATTTGCACAAGCACGCTCACTCGCTCGCTCGCTCTTTCTTTCTCTCTCTTTCTCTCTTTTTCTCAATCGCTTACCTCTCTGGTCATTCGTACAATGAGTGTCATACGCGTCTCCTTCTACACACGTACACGAAAAATGATAATTTTTTACGGTTATGATACCTTACACATATTACAATAATATTAATTAGTTTTATAATATTCAATAATTATAATAGAGTAGATGATCGATGAATGAGGTGGAGACTGTACAGGATGCGCGATTTCCATGATTATCACATGTAGATAGATTATTAATTTCTGTAACACTCAACCTTTTTTTTCCGTTGCGGATGCTCTATCTTCTAGATGTACACCTAGAGCAGATAGGTTTTTTAGGTAGGTAGACAGGTAGATAGGTAGTTTTAGGTGGATAGGTGGCTCCCCTACACGGCACCGTTGCTCCCATCGAATCGGCACTCTCGCGCAAGCGTCCGATCCCCGTTGTCCGTCCATCGTCGTTTTTCGCACACTCGAAAGAAACTCGCCACTGAATATCTGTCTTCCTCGTAAATATACACGCGGAGATGTATTTCGTTCCGTTTTCTCCCTTCCGTAACCTCCACCTCTCTCGCGCGATTTTTTCCTCTTTTAGCGATAAGTAGTTTAAATTAATAAATTATTTGGTTTTTCACGCGCTCAAAGCGTCCTGGCACTTTCGTTTCTGGTCAAGGGCCGGGGAAGGTACCGCGTTACGACGATCAGTGTTCGCCGACAGGTGATAGATGGATCCGAGATCCCGGTTTCGCGCGCGAACGCGTCAACACGTGTCACGGGAGATCACTCCAGCTCGCGAGAACACTACGCCTCGAGGGAGAGGGCCTTGCAAGGTCCGACGAGTGGTCTGGGTGATGGCGATGGAGATGGCGACTTCTTCGAGAGGTTCAGCGGCTGCTGGCTGTCCGCGATGTCGACTTGCAGTTCCATCATGTTGCTCGGACAGCCGGACAACACCAGCGTGGCGGCCGTACTCGAGGTCGGCCTCGGACTCGTGCTCGTACTGCTGCTCGCCGCGGCGGACAGATATCTCGGCGACGAAGCCGGCGAATTGCCAACAGCGAGATAGTCTGAGGAAGACTGCTGCTGCTGCTGCTGCTGCTGCTGTTGCTGCTGCTGTTGCTGCTGTTGCTGTCGCGCACCTGTTGTCGTCGTAATCACCGAGGTGGCCGGCCATCTGCTCGAGTAGCTCGTGGTGGCGCACTGCAGGAGGCCCTGAGATCCTTGCGTCGAGCGCACCGTCACGGTGGTGGTCGATGCGCACTGCTCCGCGGGCGACGGCGAAGCCGTGGGCGACCTGCCGTTGGCCTCGCCGCGCATTATGTAATTGTGTATGATGTCCGTGCGCTTCAGCTGTTCCGCAGTCATTCGCGGGCCCTCCATCAGGCTTCTCGCCAAGGTGGAATGCGTGCTGCTGAGGAGACTCGCAGTCTGCGGGCATTGAGCTTGCGCCGTCTGAGTAGGCGGACTGCGCGCTGGTGGCGAAGTTAAATGCAGATGCAGCTGAGATTGCGTATGCTGCACCACGACAGCTGGTTCAGCCTCGGCGCTGTCCTTCTGGCGCAGAGCGCGGAACTTCTTGTGCGGCTTGTAAGCCTCGTCCATCAGAGAGTTGGTGTCGTACAACGGCGGCGCCTGGAGCACACGCTTCAGCACCGGCATATCCTCCACCTCCTTGTCTTCGGAACGCGGACTCGAGCACACGGACGTAGGAGCGCTGCTGGCGCTGCTGCTGGCCGGTTTGTCGGTCTTCTCGGTGCCGGACTCGATTCCGCTGTCGCTCGGCGAATCCAACTTGCGGAACCGCGGGCACTGCGGCGGCTGCGGCGTCTTCGACATGGTGGTGCGATGGAGCTCGTCGTCGCCGGAGCTGGTGCTGCCGGAGTTCGCTCGTCGTCTGTGCGGGCACAATCCACCGGCCAAAGTGGCGGCCAGAAGCGGTGCGCTCGATGCGTGATGACCACTGGGCGGCGTGACGTGATGATATTCCGTTAAAGACGCGACCTCGCCGCTGCACGTGCTTTCGGTGCTCGATACGCTGCCGAGCGGGCTCTTGACCGCTTCGTCCAGAGTCACGTCCGAGGCGGAGCCCCAGGAAGCCGGAGGCTCCTCCTCCATCGGCCAATGCGGCTGCTGCTGAGCAGTGATAACGTGCTGTGTTTGTTGCTGTTGTTGCTGCTGCTGCTGCTGTTGCTGCTGCTGCTGATGTTGCTGTTGAGCCTGCAGTTGTTGTTGCTGCTCAGTCATCTTGAAAGCCAGAAGTTTTTCCGAGTGCAGAGTATTCAGGGTTCTTAGGTCGGGTATCTTCTTCAGCAGTTCGCGGAGAATGTCGGGATGCTGCGGATGATTCTGCGCCAGAACCGTTTGCAGGGCGTTTCGCAGCTTATTGTGCATACGTTCGACCAGCTCGGTATTGCGAAGTCCTGGCCTGTCGGCGGCGATCACCACGACGGAGCAGAAGAGACCGAGCTCGGCGTCGGAGAGTCGCAAGGAGTTGACCCTCTCCGCAAAGTCGAACATCGAGTCCATTAGGAATCGCGCATTACTGCTGTTGTGGATGGACTCGCGCTTGAGCACCTGGCCGTTTAAGCAAATCATGCTGTTCGTTTGAGCGTCGAACATGCAGGCCAATCGCACGAGCAGCACCTCGAAAACGCCCGCCTTCAACAATGTGACCTGGTCGTCCTGAGCCAGCAGGCTAAATCCAGGTATGCGCTTCGCGAATTCCACGACGCCGCGTATGGCCGGCGAGAATCTCTTGGAGAAATCCTGCAGCAGCTCCTGCTGCCCGGTCAACGGTTGCGGATTAGGATTCAACGGACATGCCTGTAACAGAAAGAAGCGAGTCCCGAGGTCAGGCGACGAATCGTTAAACCGCGCCGAAGGTCGCCCACGCCGCTGTCGGTTACTCGGAAGAGGCGCGCATACCAGGCGTCCTCGCGAGGCGAGACGAGGCGAGGCGGGGACGGGGCGCGGCGTTTACGCGCGCTCGTCTCCGGTCTCGCTTCCTCCTTCGCGACAGCCGAGGTCGCCTGGTTCTCGCTCGATTTCCGCGTAGAACGCTCGAAGATCAAGACGGCCCAAGGCCCGCGCTTGAGCTACTGACGTCAGCTATGGACGCTGCTGAAATCTCGAAGCGGCACGAATGGGCATTGCGTAACCCGGCAATGTCAAGAGGAAAGGTCATGCTTATTTACCAAGGTCGGTGGACACGCGGTGTAATTGGGGGTCTCGCGAGCTCTGGCGAGGACCGGCGCCACCTTGTCCCTGGTGAAGTCGCATGTGTCGAGATGGGCTCGCACCACAGTCGCGAGCAGGCGCTGCTCGTCCTCCAGCTCCGCTGCTACCGCCTTCTCTTGGGAACGGCTGTGCGAGCTCTGCTGCATGGCAGCCAGAATCCTGGCCTTCTCACGCTTGGGCACGCGGCCGAATCGCACCGCTGCAACCAGAAACGGATGATACGTGGATTAGACGTGCTGCGAACCTCGTACGTACGTCGCGCGCGCGCGAAAAGGAAGGACGACGATAAATAGTTAATGCGATCAATGGGTGAATCATGCAACGGACCCGAGCGACCGCTATCGCGAGATGACCTTCGCGCCAACCAACGTCGGGGCACTCGCGTGATGCTCGGCAGAGCGGGAGAGCCGAAGGAAAAGCGGTAAAGCGCGCGGCTCTATTCAAAGCGTGTGAGTACCAAGTCACACCAGATATGGTTTCGCGCCAAAGGTGGAAAAAAAAAAGTCACAGGGGAAAGCGCGCGCGACTTTCTCGCGCGCGCGAGAGATGAAAGTGCCGCGCGCGCGCGCGCGCGCGCACCGCGCCGCACCGCGTGCTGCGAATCTTTCGGTTAGAAAGTGTGCGGGTTAACCGCGCGCGTTAACCGCTTCGCTCTGTCGCGTAAACATTGCAATCGCGTGATTTGCCTCTGCGATCGATGACACCTACGTGCATTGTGATAGTTGACTAGTTGTCCATTGAGGATTCCCTTCAGAATCGGTAACTCGTCTCCCATGACGGTTCAGGGGAAACGCACCGCGTTAAGTCGCCCGGATTAATTGTCGCCTCGATCGCACACTTGCACGCACACGTGGTTAAACTTGCTTCTATCGGCACTTGAATCACCACCGGCTCGAAACACCGCGCGGTCGCTCTCACTTCGACGCACGACTGAGACTCTCTTTTTGACTTTGCGCTGCGCGCGTATCCGCGACCAATTCGCCACCGACGTCGATCCTCTCGGCTGACTCGAGTCGCGAGTCACTCCAAGCGGTCGCACACGGCGGGGCTGCGAGAAAGAGAGATGCCCGCTCCGACTTTGAAGAACGAGCGCCGACCGTAGTACGCGTGCAAACACGAGACAGCATCACCGCCGACTGAGTGATGTTCCGCGGGTCGCGTTCAACAGCCCCTCCACTTATTCAGCCATCAACGACCCCCACCATCACGCGCGCGATTGTGGCCTTTGCCGAGCCTTTGGCCTTGAACTTGGTTTCAGCGACAGCCGCACGAGGCGTACCGCCGACCTATATATTCTATATACGCGAGCAAATGTGCGACGCGTCAGCGTAGCACCCAGCGCGTGGAGCGAGAGAGAGGGTCAGGTTCCTCCTCCGTGCGCAGATGCGAACTTCCTTTGTCGGGGGTAACTTACCCTCGACGACCTTGGGCAGCCCCTCACTGCCCTTACCTGCCCTGTCACCAGCTGTCGATAGCCGGCTTATCTATTTGCGGACTATCGATCTTTAAACGTGCCGATTCTATAAGCTAAAGCCAAACCACCGATTCTATCAACCATCTCGCAGCAATCAAAGTTTCTTAATTTCGTACGCGAGTTCTATATTGAGAAATCAAAAATAGATGCATTCATCACGCGGGTGGTCGCGTGTTGACAAAGTAATCAAAGGGGGTGTGGCGTATGAGAAGATCTAAAAATGTTTCATGTATGTGAAAGCGAGAGCGACTTTTAATCAGTATTTAATATCTCAATATATATTTACTTTTTCTAATTCAAATTTTATCGATATTACACCTTCTCTCTAGCTCGCGAGACAAAGCTCTCTTTTCGAAATTGCATTCGTACATTTACAACGCTTCGTAATTGCAGATGCAACGCGAGACGAAAGTCGAGGGAACGCGCCGCGCGATCGTCGTAGCGACGAGTTCTCCGCGGGAAAGCGCGAAGCGCTATGACCAGTCGGTCACGTACAGCTTCGGCCAGACGGCGGCCTGCGACGGGAGCATGCGCCCACCAGCCAGGTGGATCTACGGTTGCGGATGGTAGGGAGATTGATATACGCGGCGGAGGAGAAGAACGCCGAGGTAGGGGCACGTAGTTGTGAAGCAAAGTTCGCGAGGTCTCCGCACGGAGTGTAAGCGCGCCACGCGACGGCGCGCCGCCGTCGCCGTCGGTGGGGACGGCGCGTTCCGCGACCGAAGAAGCCGAGCGAGCGGGCGGCCGACAATCCCGCCCGAGGTGGGGAAAGAAAAGGACGGCGGGGAAGCTCGATGGTGGGAAAGGAGGGTGGAAGAAGGTAGGAGGGTCACCGGGGACGTAGCGGCGAGTAGCGGTACTCTTTCTACGGACGCGGAGTCGCCCGCCAGACGAGCAACGGCCGTCTATTGACCCCGCGAATCGCCTTGTTATCGCTGCACGCTTCTTTGCGCTGATTTTTGAAAAAAAAAAAAAGATAATTTCGATATCGTGCGCACTGATGCACGTATGCGCGGCTCGATTATCCGCGGAGTCGATTATGCTCGAATTGTTATGAATATAAATTTAAAAAAAATTGCATCCTAATTTGTAAAATTAGGATGAATATCACGGCTTCTGTATTGATTTCGAGATGCAGCGGCGTTCCAACTTTATCGGGAAAAGAAGATATACATCGGCGCCCGCGCGACATGTCGACGACCTAGGTCAATGATCCCATGCACGAGATGCTGCGAAGCAACGGTCGCGCGCGTCTGCGTTACAATTGTTCGTCGAAACGCGGTCGGGATTTTGTCGAATTGTTGAAAAGAAAGCAAGATCTGGTTGCATCAATCGAAAGATAATCGCCGTTGCTTTCTCAAACGGCGAACTGGCCACTTTCGCCCGTTGCGACACTCCGCCGTGTCGCTGAGAACGACGTTACGCAAACGGTCAATGACCCGGCAAACTGAATTTCAGAAACTTTTTCCGTGGAAAAAACACGACGTTTCGCTAAAAGAGGCGAGGAAAAAAATGCGGCGCTTTGTTTCATTTTTATCTGGTGCGACAGCGCGAGTTTTCAATCGAAAGAGTCATTTCTCGCAAACATTTTGCAAACGAAATTGAATTCGTTATCGCATTTGAGAATTATTTCAACTACGCGATTGTGAGTTTTCAAATACGCTCATTGGAGATAATCGCGCGATCCTTTCTCATTAATCGGCGATGGAGTAAAAGCTCGTCTCTCCGTGATGTAAAGATTATATAATTGAAAGACTTACCATCGCGACTCATGCCGACGGCGATGCACTTTTTAAGACGACAGTACTGGCACCGATTTCTGTTGATCCGGAGGATGCTGCACTGTTGATTCTTGGTGCACGGCCGATACTGAATCTTCTGCTGGATGCTCCGGCGGAAGAAGCCCTGCGAATCACCAACAAAACCCTCGTCAGCCTGACCGTCACTGTCCGACGAAGACCCCGATGAGCAATCGGTCCCCGAACGCGGGGCGGCCAGATCACATTCGCACAAGCACCCCATTAATTCACTCCAGCTGAGATTGAAATCGCACGGCGTCCAACCGAATTAAGGACAAAAGTCTGCCGCGCGTAGTCCATTAACGAAAGATACGCCTTCCAACACTCGCTATGCGTGTATCCTCCGATTCGAAGACCAACGAAGATCGCTACCTAATTGCGAGTATCCTCGATAAAGGCGGGAGACTCTGCCGGACCGACTCGCGTCTATCACCGTCTGTCACGTGTGATTCGCGGTTCACCGAACTCGCGTTCAACAGTCTCTTCTCGAGTGGAGTCTCTTCTCGACTCGGCTCGGCGGTGGACGCGCGTACCAAGTGCAACGCGCGTTTTCGCGAGGGGGAAAGAAGCGACGACCGTTTGTATCGGAGCTTGGCTGTGGACTGGCTCTTTCTAGCACAGAGAACATAGAGCCTCGGCACATTGCCTCTGGCGTGCCGCGGTGGGGGACACTGTGACCCAATTCCCGGACGTTCACCCGCAGTTCACCGCGTGAAAGTGAGAGTCCCCCTTGCGCGCACTGGCGCTCCTCGGCCGTCTCCCTCTTTGCCCGTTCTCTCTTTCTCCCGTTCCCGATCTCTCTCTTCCTCGCGCTAGAGTGAACCCTAGATGATGTCCTCGTCTCGTATCTACCGCGAACGCGCTACCATAGAGGCTCGCGAGCGCTCTACTAACGGGTTTCTTCCCTCCCTTCTCCCCACCTTCCGCCCGGAGGAGCCACCCTCTCCGAACGACCTGCCCTACCTCCACCTCTCTCTCTCTCTCTCTCTCTCGCTCTCTCTCTCTCTCTCTCTCTCTCTCTCTCTCGTTCTCGAGGTTCCTACCCTCGCGCTGATACCCCTCTAACACCCACTCGCTCACAAATAGGCGCGAATATAGAAATCTCTCGTCTGCTTATGTACTCTTTTTTTATCTCTCTCGCGGAGTCCGTCGTGTTAATCGGCACGGGGACATCGCGAAGAGAACGAGAGAAAGAGAGTTGAGAATGAATAAAAATCGGGAAAGGGGTAGGTTAGTGTAAAGATACTTCCCGTCGTGTATCGGTCAACGACCTCGCGAGACGATTACGTAACACGCGACGCGTGGGGGACCCTTCGTGAAGCTTCTGTATGTCGTCGTCGTCGTCGTCGTCGTCGTCGTCGCCGTCGTCGTCGTCGTCGTCGTGTCGACGGCCGCGCGTGTATGCACGTACGCGTACGAAAAGTTGGCGATGCTCGTCGCCGAGTAACTCCAACGTGACGTCAGATGCGCGACCTCGCCTACCTCAACTTCGTGCAGAGCTTGTCGAGAGAACGATGTACCGTTGCACCTCCGCGCCCGGGCTGTCAATCGGCGCGAGCGTTTGATGTGCAAGTCAATGAACTGTCAGCGTTGCCAATGTTAAGCCTCGCTGCCTCCGATCGGTCGAGCTCGGTGAGGAACGTTTTCAACCTTTCGGACAAGAAGGCAAGGCTCCTCGGGCGTGAATAATCGTAACCGCGACGTTTCGCGAGTTCACAATTAGGAGATTCGAATTTTAAATATCAGCCGTATTGAAAAAAAAATTGAAATATAACATTCGCCGCGCTCTTTCTTCAACCGATCGTGCGAAGTGAATCTTTCGCGAAATATGTCAGTCGAGTTCTTAGTCGGGACAATTACTTTTTGCGAAAAGCCATTGTATTACAGCGAAATGCTATTGGGGCACGAGCTACCGTTGTGGATATCCGGACGAGGCCAGCAACCCCTGTTGAACCTCTCGGTCGGCGGGAATCCGACGAGCGAAGGGTGAAGGAGGAGATGTGTGGGGGAATGCGGTGCATCGATCTCTCGAACCGTGCATGGCCCGTGACGGGTCAGGGGGCGACCACCTTCGCGCACTACCTCAAGTTGCGAGTGTTCTTTTGCGCACGCGTCTTCTTCTTAAAATTCTCGCGACGACCAAAAAAATTTAACGAGCCGCAAGTTCATTTTTCAGTCGCTAAAAATAACATCGGACGTTTCGTCAAAATTTCTATTTCTGCGCTCGATTTCTTTAAATACTAATCGTAGGAATGTTTTTTTTTTTTTTCCGTCCGTTTCATAAAGGGGTCATTGAATTTATCAACAGTTTCAGGAGAAAAAAACAAAATACACCGAGAGGAGTATCGAACGACGCGCTCGCGCTTCGCTCGCTCACATCCGCCGAAACTTTCGCCGGGTTGAGAAAGTTCTGTTATTCTCCGTTCTCGATTCCGCGATGAGAAAACTCATTTCCGCACATTTTTTTTTATTAGCTGCCATTAATTTCTACATTTTCGGAGCGATTTTCCAAAAAGTTCTTTCCCAACCAACGAAAGCACGCACGATGATGTAATACGCAGTCCGCTAAAGCTGGATGCAGATCTTCGACTCGAAAATCTGGAAGCGAGTCGCACGGTTATCCGCGGGATTTAGCGAGACCCGTCGTTGACCGGCCGACGCGGCGCGGTTGAAGCTCCAATTTTATTTTCCGTGGAAACGCGACGACGGCAGTAGCAGTAGCTGGCAAGAGCGACGAGCCGGTCGGTGACGGCACGGGGTTGTATGCGCGTACACGCCTGCATATGTGCACATATATAGGTAACGAGAGTGTGGGACATACACACGATGTGGTCGCGAGGCCAATGACCGGAGCGCGCGCGACTGCTGCAACGGATGAAGGGAGCGGGGGCGAGGGATGGCGATCTGGCCGAGGGACGGTAGGGGAAGGTGAGCGTATCTGCTCTCCGCCGGGAGGGTGGAGGCGGGAGGTGCTATAGTAAAAGTAGGAGGCGGCCAAGGAGGGAGAAGAGGACACGAAACGGAGTAACGGTGACGTACGTAACGCGCGCGCGTGCGCCTGCACGCCGCTCCAACAGTCGCGACACTCTCCGCTCTGCTCGGGGGCATTAACCGCTCGCCCGCTCAGCTCTCTCGCTCTAGCACTCTCCTACGACCCCAAGAATTTGCCGTTCTATTCTGCTGCCCGGGCATCGATATCGGTAAAGTCGATCGCGGAGGTCAGAGATGGTCGCGCGGCTCCTGTGCGCGTAGTTTTCTAACCTGCCGGCGTTGATCAAACGATATTCCGTACGCACAGTTCATTTAGTTGTACGACCAGATATCTCGATCAATTTTCCACACGCCAGAAAGAAGTGTGCCGAATCTCGAATTGCCAATTGTTCGTATAATTTTCTAATTTTATCGTTATTTATAAATACATGGAAAGTCACTCGGCGCATCATGATTCATCTTGTGAATCGTGCCAGAATTAGCTTCGATTTGTTTCTCCGAGGTGACAAGTTCCCGTTCATTGTTCGGCCATATATGCGGGAGATGAGATGCAATGAGATGCGCGTCCTCATAAATTTTGGACTCTTCCGAAGCTCATTGTAACATCGACATATTGAGCGGAGTGATGCGCGCGTCGGGAGCGATCCATTATACTGCATGCCGATAATATCGTGTTTCGCGGGACGAATTTATCGGGTGTAAAAATTGTGGCGGTCCGATTTCGCTCTGCGGGGAAGCGTTATCTCGAAGAGCTCCCGCTCCGGTGGACAGATACCACGCCGAGCGAACACCTACCACGATAATAAGCGACTGACCCGATTCTAAAGTAGATGCACCGGGGTCAGTAACCCCGAGCGAGCACCGAAATACTCGCGCAATCAAATGAAAATGAGATCGCGACTCGTTACGACGTCAAAAATGACGGTTACCCGAGAGAAGGAGCGGAGAGTGGGAGAAGGCTTCCCCGCGGCAAGGGGTGCGCGGAGAGGGCGGCGGGATGAGGGAGGAGGAGGGAGAGTGACGTAACTGGCTCGGAGGGTCGACGACCGGAGGGTTAATGCACCGGTCGCCTGATTTCAACCCTCCGGAAAAAGCGTCGACGTGCACCTCCACCGATGATTGTTTCGTCGCGGAGATTTAAAGCGGAACTTTAATACCGAAGAATCTTATTTTTGCCGCGAACAATAGGTTCCGATGCCCTCGGCGAGATTAGTCACGCGAACGTTACGTCGATTAATCCCGACGGAGTTTTCTAACGAACTTTGGATCTGCATTCTCTGATTCTTCGTTAAAATTTTCTAATTGCAAGCCCGCTCAATGTGGACGATAATAATTCGACGTTTGAATGTGTTTCTATTTAATAGCTGTCAAAGTTGTTTACAGATTATCAAAACATATGGAGAAAAACTCTTGTTTATTCCAAGACCAATTCGCTACGATATGTACCGTTATGGTGGCAGCAATAAGGCGATAATAGCGTTGTACGACTATTCCCGAACCGCAATCGATTCAACCCGAACTAGTCTAAAACGTACAAAAATACTGCACCTATTTTATTACCCCGCGTGATCTTTTAATAAACCGACGAGCTTTATTTTTCAGCGCTGAATTAGGACAGGGAAAATTATTCGATAATGCATTATCGAATTTAAAATAATTTGTTGCTAGTTAAAATATAGATTCAAAGAGATTTTTTTTTTTTTTAATCCAAACAATCTAAATCGTGCGAATTGTTTGTACGGCAATTTCCGTCTATTTTTAAAAGTATTTGTAAATAATATCCAGCTTGTAGCGAAATAAATATTATATCGACCTTTTTTGCAACACGAGAGACGCGGTATTGAGAGACTGTTGCGTCGAATGCCTCTTTCTTTCGGCGGGTTTAATATTTTAGCGTCGCAATCCGACACACGGAGAGAAAAGTAGCGTACCGATGAGACGGTGGAGCGAAATAGTGCAACAGTGGCGACCGAGCGACCTAGTCTTAAAGATATCCAACACTCTTCCGCGTTCTCTTCCCTTTCCACAGGCCCCTCTTCCAGTACCTTAAGACGCTCTACCGCTAGCGGCTAGGTCACTCAGTGGAGACTCGTTCGGCTTAGTGCCTCTTACGGCGCTGCGGCCATAAGTTACTGACCTAGTCAACGAGCCGCAGGCCATGGCTCTGCTCGACCGATTAGTCTTCCCAGTGAATTTCAACGGTGGGAAATGGGATGACGGGGGGGGGGGGAGGATAAGAGGGGCGGAAAATTTCTTGGCCAGATGTTTTCATGTGGAATGCGACCGATCTAGTTCTTTTTTCCACACGCCTACAATAGAAGCAACGAAAGCAGAAGTACCTGCTCTCCCGTAGCGCGCATCGGAAAGGTCCTCCCGATACTTTCGCTTTCCCGTCGTTACAATCATCATCTTGGCTTTTCGGTAGGCCCAACTCTCTCTTTCGTTTACCTTTCTTTTCATCGTTCCCGTGGAGAGGTGTCTATAGTGGTTTTGCTCGATTATCATTGTGGGAAAACGCGACCAGAACAAATCAACCGTGTAGCATCGTGTAAACTACTTTTAGAAAGACCACTTTCCAAGAATACGCTGTTATTTTCAGTTCGATTTGATCAAAGATTAGCATTTGATCAAAGATTAGCATTAAATTCCGAAGCTGAAGAGCCTGGCATAATTTCTTTGAAAAATATATACATAAATAAAGAATAAATGTATATATCGCTGTCGAATTTCTTCATAATTTATCGCAATTGCTAGAAATTATTTATCACGCAAGAAATATAACAATGTACAATTTATATTTGCATTCGAGTGCGAAATATATTATCGTGTGAATGTGTTTTGTGAAGGAATTAAGAATTAAAGTAACGCTAGTCTCGGGAATAAGCGGGAAAGGCGCAAAGTTACCACGCGCGCGGTCGAAGCCGATCTGCGAGCGCGAAGAGGCGAACGATGCACGGCACCTGACAGCCACCTCCACCGCAGCGTGTCAGTGGAGGTGGTAAAGCTGACGGTGGGTAGTGGGCGTCGTTCCTTCACTTCCTAAAACGCATCGATAGTCGGTGCTGACCCTACTATTTCGCTTCCGGTCGAGTTGACACGTACAACCGTGACAAAAGATGTCAATCGACATATAATATAGACGTCTTCGTGACATTCTTTACGAGGAACAATGAGCCGACATTTCTTTCCTTCGACACACTCATGTATCGCAAATAATTCAAACACGAAGAACAAATAAGTCTGACCTGGTTTCAAAAATTTCCGACCCTTAGAAGTCCACTCAGCAATTTATATCGAATTCTGATATTTAGCGTGGAATCCATTGAAAAAAAAAAATTCAAGCTAAACAGACTTAAGGCGACACTACCTGCTGCGAACCTTTAAAATTTCTCGAAAATGACAAGGCTATGGTGGTAAAAAATATTGCACATTTCATGCCTAATTCACGCAATTCTCGTTCTTTTTTTCTACCGTTCTCCGAACCGTTTCTGCCATTTTTCTGCGAAAATGCTATGACAGCCTGAGGTGAAAGAAAATGACACAAAAGAAAACAGTTAAGACATTTAACAGTGCCGGTGTCAACAAATGTTTATAGAAAGTTAATCGATGATTTTAATAGATGCATTGATCAGTTTATCGCATTCGATGAACGGAAAGCACAATGGCCCTGACAATACGTAAATTCAAGAAGGCCTTCGCGAGATTCTTTCCCTCGACACGAGGGAATTGTCGGATCGTGAAATAACGTCAAGGACCAAATCTCTCATGATTTCCGCGTGACCAAGGTCAACTCGTGCTTCAGTCGACAACTCCTACATAGCCTTGATTTCGCCTCACGCATTCACATTCACACATGTTTACTCTCTGACCGTCCCACATCCGCAATTTCGATATTTCCAGATTGCGAAAACGATAACACGTTGATTTTTACTTCGATCTACGAATTCTTCGTAATAATTCGAAACTGATTTCACTTTAATGAAAATAGAGTTATCTTTTCTCTTCTATAATATTATATATTTTTGTATCAATAACTTTTTTATTAAGATTTTATTGTACTCGCAATTTTTAATTTTCAATCTCGCATCAATCAATATCTGCGGTAAAGAAAAATCAATTTTCTTAACAAAATTAGACGAATATATTAAAATTTCGCAGCACTTTCGATTGCTCATACGAGATCAGCGTCTTGGATTAGAGATTGTAAGCGCACACAATAATTGAATGATAAAGCGATTGATTGATAAACACTCACCTTGCATCCTTCGCAGGAGTGAACTCCATAATGAAAACCGGACGCCTTATCACCGCAGACTCGGCAGAGCACGGTGGTGCCGTCGAATTCTGTAACAAACGAGAGAAGCGCATTCCATTAATACAGGTTGCAAACGATAATATTCTCTCCCGCGACTTCCTCTCCACGTGTTGCGGAGCCGCTGCGCGAGAGAAAGGTGGGAGGAAAAGAAGAACACTTTCTCTCGCGCGTGCAGCGGGTTACAGCATCGCCGTATTACAACTTTCTGCTTTCACCCGCTGTCGCGGCCCGCGATCCCGCCCGTTTTACGCTCGCGCGCTCGTCTTAATCTATTCTCATTTGTAATACGACACGCCGTCGTGAAAAATTGAGAGAAGAAAAAAAAAAAAAATATAAAAACACCGGACGGTGCAGCGTACCTATGTTGAGCTCAGGCTCGGGTTTTGCGGAGGAGACGGTCGAATCCATCGTCGGCATACTCGAACTGAGACGACGGTTCGAAAATTGTATGGAATCATATGGATCAACGGTTTGAGAGTGCAAAGATCCGAGGATATCGTTGGAGGGCAGAACGGGTATCATCGACGCAGGCGAGGGAGACGTGGACAGCGCGTCCTGCTCGCTACTGTCCGCAACGATCATGTTGCGCCGGAAATAGTCCTCACTGTCCCCGCTCTCGTCGGAGGAGACGAGGTCCGCTTGCTCACGGCACTTCACAACTAACGATAAAGTCCACATCTACAATATTCGTCCACTTGCCCGCCTCACTGTCACCATGCTCTCACTGACCGGATCACGACCGAACGAGGAGATATCGATTGGCGCGCGCACGAGGACGCGCTCGCTCGAGGACGCGGAGGATCGGTGCGATCCGCGCAAAAGGTTACGGCCAGAGGTGTTACGAGCGTGGGCTCTCGCGAAGCGAACGCGACAGGTAAAGCGCGAGCGCCGAACGATGGATGGCCGAAACGCGATGCGGATGGCAAGCCTGAAGAGAGAGTGAAAGTAAGTCCTCGCTCGAGGGAGGTTCGCGTTGTTCTGACTCGAGTTCGGCGCTGCCGAGTGTTGGTTACCTGGGGGCCGTGCAGCCCTTACTCGGCACTCTGAGCGACTCGATGGAGGGGAGGGATTGATGTGCCTACTCGCTTGCCAGGCTATCAGGCTTGCCTCGGCCATCTACAATGTCTACGCCCTGGCTACCTAGTATGTAGTAAAAGACACACAACACATTGCTCCGGCGCGCTCTCTTACAGGGGCCCCCCGAGAGAGTTCATCGTATTTTCAATGCTGGAGGTCACTGCGCTGCGGGCCCGTGCTGAGCCGCCGCGGTCGCGTCAGGCCCGACCAATCGGTCGTCGGCTCGGAGGGCCCTGCGCTCGTGCGATTGGCACAGAGTCTTCCCCACCGCCGTGTGCTCTCGGCCGACCGGCGGGTTCTCCTTCCTCCCGATGGAGGAAGTTCATCGGCCGAAACCTTGACTGAATTACCCCGCAGCGGCGGCCAAGGCCATGCGCCTTCTCGCTCGAGCCAACTGCGAGTGTAGTGATTTTGTCGCGTTGCTTCTCTCTTTCTCTCTTTCTCCTTCTTTCTCCTTCTCTTCCTCTAACTGTCTCCTTGTCTTTCCTTCTTTATTCCAGCCTGCCTGCTTGCCTGCCTGCCTGCCTGCCTCTCTCTCTCTCTCTCTCTCTCTCTCTCTCTCTCTCTCTCTCTCTCTCTCTCTCTCTCTCTCTCTCTCTCTCTCTCTCTCTCTCTCTCTCTCTCTCTCTCTCTCTCTCTCTCTCTCTCTCTCTCTCTCTCTCTCTCTCTCTCTCTCTCTCTCTCTCTCTCTCTCTCTCTCTCTCTCTCTCTCTCTCTCTCTCTCTCTCTCTCTCTCTCTCTCTCTCTCTCTCTCTCTCTCTCTCTCTCTCTCTCTCTCTCTCTCTCTCTCTCTCTCTCTCTCTCTCTCTCTCTCTCTTTCTCTCTCTCTCTTTCTCTCTCCTCCTCGCTCACTCGCTCTTTCTTCGTGTTTCTACATCGCAAGTGTTCTTCTTCTCCTCTGCTCTTTCCTTCCTTCTTTCTTTCTTCTCTTCGGTATACTACATAAAGTCGTCCCTCTTCTACTCACTTGCAACACACGCCGCTTTGTTTCTTCGTAATTTCCTATTCTCGAGAAAAATGTTGATTCTCGCGATGCTGAAGGTCCGCGCCGTGACCTTTGTTATCGATTCAATTCACGGATTGTTTGTAATAATCCTCTAGTAATGTTAATTGGAAAGTATAATTTTCGGTATTAAAATTTATCACAGGATACTACGTATTTATGAACAAGACTGATCGTCACGTGTACATTTGCGCGAAAAATGTGATGACGATTCAATGCGCTCGCTGAATCGGCTGATATAAGAGATCAAGTTGGTGTCGGTATTCTAACTTAAAAATTACTCGGTGTCCCGATCGCATTCAGGCGGTTGTTTATCGCTTTTCTTACGACTACAGTTGCATCAAATTACTGCTGATAAACCGAATAGGATATCAGACCTACTAGTTATCACATCTTTTAAAATACGCAACAAGAACGGAAAAATTTCATGTAAATATCGAAACAAACAAGAAATATGTTTTTTTGATATTTAGTGAAATAATTCGTTTACATCGGCAGTCAAGTGTTGAGTAATCAAGCCTCAAATTAAACTATCCTCCACACATGTAATATTCGTAATTACAATCGCAATCTTTTCACTCTTATATTTTGATTCTATGTTTAATTGCTCAATGATATACGATCCGCTCATAAGCCAAACTGATTAACTCCACTTTCTGCAATTTTTCCAATTTTAATAAATGATTGATGTTTAAAACTTTTCATAAATAAAATAAATTCACGGAATTCGGCTTGGATTCTAAGTAGTGCATATAAAAGAAAAAAGAAAAGAAAAAGCAAGGTCAGTAATAGCGCTGTTATACAATAGAATTATAATACAAAAAAACAAATTGCATCAATAATTGTTGACCTTGGTTGTGTAGAATTTTTACCTGCGAATATGGGAGAAAGTTACTGTTTATTTATTGACTAATAAAGTACTTTGCTCATATATTGTAAAAAAATTTAGCATAACGGTACCTAACAGAGTTTCGGAGCATTTAAGATTGGGACTTGGACTGAAAGGGTTCTGTTCCGTTAAGTCTCTTCGAAAGTGTTAGATACATTGTTTTGTTTGTGTTTTTCTTAGAATTTGAATGAAATATTTTTATTAGTCTACAAATTTCTGTACACTTTCGCATTCACAAATATTAGATAAATCAGACGGCAGACCGAACTCATCCACACACAATTGAAAGAGCAGAGCGCGCTACATATACGCGATTCTTGATTGTAAGCGTACAAAGCAGTTCAGATGTGAACATTTAACTTTGCTTTCATGAATTGAAAGTAACGCATAATAATAAATTATAGAACAACGCTTTGGCATTACATTACAATACTAATTATATGAAATAAAAATGATACATTCTTTTCAAATATAATATCGAATATTCAGAGCGTTTCTTCGTTCTAATTTACTTTTCAAAAATTCAGATGCTCAGTTAATATCTTTGGAAAATATTTTATTATACAATTAACCGTCTACAGAATCATGAGATAGATTTGCACGCGTAGTTCGCCGAAACATTTCTTCACGCTCTCTTACTCGACTACGAACTCGGACAGACCTCGAACGTAATGGCCGCGACGACGGAGGTCAGACGATGGCGTTTCCTTGAAATCGGCTAGCGACCTGCAGCCACGCACATTTATATACAATGAATACACCATGACCCCCGCATCTATTTTTAATCGATTGTACTGTAAAGCTATACAGCGCTTTGAGCATCGTATCAAAGAATATTAAATTATTGAAGGTGAAGCGAGTCCGAAGACGGATAAAACGCAAAAAAAAAAGAAAACTTTTATTGGCACAAGCAATTTTTATAGATCTGCAAATAATCGCGCACAGTTTCTCCAAACTATATGCGGATGATTATCCGTGTAATGACGAGAGAAAAAAATGATTGGCTCGAAGGAGAGATAAATTTCACGATGCTGAATAAATGTTAATTACGTCGTCGGATCCATAAAACTGTAAGCGGGTTTCTTCGTTTCGCCTGATGTCTGAATTATACGACTTTCCGCCTTTGCATATGTCAAGTCCGTTTTAACAATTATGTAAATGGGATTATTATCAGCATTCACATTATATCGAGATGGTCTGCGATTGTTTTTTTTTCTCTCTCTCTCTCGCCATGTAATCGTAACGCGCAGCGATGCATGCGGAGGAGGCGCAGATAAAAATGTAACAAGCAAGAGCATAATTAGAGGTTGCTTCCCTGCGGCAACCAAGGCTGCATTGTCTATCGTCCGTGTCCTTGGCACTGAGCGACCGGTCGCCGACTTCTTCGCTTTGTCTTCATCAAGCTTCCTACCGGTTGGAATTTCATTATTAGACGATCACGACGCGAATGTCAAAGGTCCTAGACACTGTTTACATTACCGAGGCGTGATTCTACAACCTTCTTAATAATTTTTATTTACAATCCAGAAGCTATATAAATTTTCAAAATGTTTTAAATAAAAAAGAAAAAAAGAAAAAAGACACCATGTATATTCTGGAGAATTGCGGCATATAACGTCTCATATAATTGTACGCGGAAGATAATTTTTAATCCGACCGATGCCGCTTATGACTCGCGGACATTCGCGGGTTAACGGCGAACATAATCGCGCGGATACATAGTCCTGCATCGGCATGGGCGCCGATCGTCGCGTATATGTCGTACCGCTGAGTAATATGGCGATACTTCCGCAGTGGGCGCTATGGGGCAAGCTATGGGCATAACGGTGCGCACGGCGCGTCACGCATATGCGTGCGTGATGTCACTGAACCTGGAGCAGCAGCAGCAACAGCGGGTGCACGTAGTACAACCCGCAAGAACACCACGCGACTGTTCTCTTCCGTTGCTTTGTATTTTGGCTGCATCGTATTTTGGGCACCGGAGTCTGCGCCGTTTCTTTGACTTTTAACGCGTTCGTACGGTTGCATGCAACGAATAATGTTTGCAAAAGAATTCATTA